CCGGCCCCTGACTACTCCATAGACCAAGAGGTATGGCTGTCTACACGAGACATTCCCCTCAAGGGTATGTCTCGGAAACTGTCCCCCCGGTTCATTGGCCCATATAAAATAGCCCAGATCATCAACCCCTCTGCTGTCCGTCTGCACCTACCTCCGAGTCTTCGCATCCATCCCACGTTCCATGTCTCCCAAATTAAACCTGTTGTCTGTAGCCCCCTGTGCCCACCGTACGACTCCCCTTCACCCGCCCTGGACATCGATGGTCATCCAGCTTTCACCGTCCGCCGGATTGTGGACTCCCGTCGGCGAGGTCGCGGTTGGCAGTACCTCGTCGATTGTGAGGGCTACGGTCCGGAGGACCGCACATGGGTTCCTGGTTCGTATATCCTCGATCCATCTCTTATCGAGTAATATGAGAGCTCCCTCCCGTCGACATCTTCTGGACCGCCAAGAGGCGGTCGTTGAGAGGGGGTACTGTTGGGATCTGGAGTTGTACCACCTTCCTCCAGCAGAGTGCGCCGTGGGTCTCCTGGAGCTGGAGCTTTCCAGCACACCTGAGACGCATCTGCTCATCAGGAGACCTCTCCTTTACAACCAGCTGCCAGACCTTCCTTCGACGCCGCAGTGTTGACCTTAGTTTGGTTAGCAACCTGAGCCTCTGAAACTGAAAGAATCTAGTTGTCTCTGTTGAGAGATCAGATTCTAACTCTTCTCTGTTTTTGCCTCTCAGGAAACCTGTCTCTAGCCTGAAGCTCTGGGTGAGCTTAACCTGCCAATCTGCCCTGGTGAACCAAACCTGAAGACTCCTATGTGGATTCCCCTGCTGCTCTTGGTGAAGAGCTGGAAACTCAGATCAAGGTCTGCCATTCAAAGTCAGAAGTTAGACGCTGCAGCTGGTCATATCCTCTGCTAAACCAACAGTCTCTGGACCCAACAGTTCCCTCTCTCTCAAAGAGAAGCCTGGACTCAGTCAAGGTAGAATCAGAATAATCAAGAACTCATAACTCATCTGCCTGCTCCACTAACCAAACTATCATCTCTGCAGACTTCAGTGAACCTGCCCGGACCAGTTCCAGAACCAGTACATTATCTTGTGTTGTTGAAACTTTCAATAAACTCTGTTAAACTTTTACCCAGCCTCCGTTGTGTTCTGCATGTGGGCTAAGAACCTTAAACCCATCATGACACACAGGAGTGCATCCTGAAGTCAGAACCCAGAACTCTGATGGATCTAGAGAACTTATGCAAAGAAAGTTAGTAAGAATTAATTAACAAAGGATGAAAAAACATTTCCATTCAATTAATTTTAATTATATAGCGCAAATTCACAACACATGTAATCTCTTGGCACTTTACAGAAACAATAATGTCAGATTGGTTAGGAAAACCAGTTGATTGCATGCAGTCACTTACTCACAAGACATATGTCTCCTGAAAGAGCTTCATTAGATGTCATTGGCTTTTCAGCAATCCCTCACACTAACCATGCATGTAGCGACATTTGAGAGGAAAAAAAAATTCCCTTTTAACAGAAAGAAACCTGCAGCACAACAAGGCTCAGTGTGAGCAGCCACCTGCTGAGCATGACTGGGGTTTAAGGAGACAAAAGCAGACATCCAGAAAGAAGGAGCACTGGACAAAAAGTGTTGAAATCCGGGAAGATACAACCTGTATTTTTTCCGTATCAGTAAAAGATATGGAAAAAACATAAAGATATGCAAGACATATTCTGGGATATGTAGACTTCTGATACTTATCCCCGCAGTATATGGTTAAAATCCAGCAGATATATTTTCAGAGGATCCACCTGAACCATACTTTATCAGATCCTGAAAAAGATTCTCTTTCATATAATGTACAAATATAATGTATATATATATATATATATATATATATATATATATTTCTGTTTCTGGCTCTTGAAGTAGGCAATCGCATTTTCCTGCTGCTCTGCAACCTCCTAATCTGTCCCTGCTTCTCTGTGTCTTGTCTTTTTAGATCCTTCTTTTCCTATCATCCAAATTCAAACAACAGGTCTGATCAGCTGGTCTATCGACCCAATTGATCAAATTTTTTCAACTGCAAGACAGGGAAAAGGGGACCCATCCTGTCTTGCCGGGACATACTTTGTGGCATACACCATGGACTCCTAGAAGGCTTAGAGGATGGTGTGTTTTACAATGTTGTCAGTGGAGGATATCGATGATGCACTGATTTTCAGATTGATGATACTTTCTCCTGTTTGGGTTTGGAGGATACCTGATGTATCTACAATTACAGAGGATGTCGGCGGCAATTTGGGCATTGATAGGCTGCCCGCAGCAGTTGATGTGCTCACAAAGGCTGTGAACGAGCAGGACCCTGAGCTGAGTCGTATGCTGAGTGGGATTGAATGTAGGCTGTCTGCAGTACTAGAACTCAAAGGTGAGATGGGATAATATCTTGGATGTGGATGCTTGCTTCAAGGCAGAAAAACTTTGTTACAGTGGGTTTGACATGTGGAGCCAGCAAGACAAGACTCAAGGCTGACAGCAAATTCCTGTGCAGCCTGCTCTCAAAGCAATAAGTGTCCCTTTAAAATTATACAGATACACAAAACATATCAAATGATCACATCATAAGAACAACTATACATTTCAAATTATATCACATTACAGTACAATATGTTACACAAATATTCATATATTAAGGCTATCAACAAAGTATTTTTTTAAAAGTGTTTTAAATGCACCTTTCATAGTAGCAGTCGAGATGTTATGAGGCAGTTTGTTCCACAGAGTCACAGCTCTGAACAGCACAGACCTGCACACTGCTTCTGTTCACGGAATGGGTCGAGTCAAATGACATACTGCACATATTTGCATTAAAACACTTGCATTGCAAAATTAGCTTTTTCCTTGCTTTAATCAAACTAAATCATAGAAAACAAAGGCAATTAAATCTTGCTTAGGGTGGGGAAAGCGGCTGTTTGTCAAGGGCTGCTGAGAAGGAGAATCATTGTGCTTATTATATAGTTATCCTGAGCTTTCTTCATAGTTATGCTGCTATAAGCTTAGACTGCTGGAGGACATAGGGACCCCTTTTTATCATTCTGCTTGATTCTAGCTCTATTATCCCACTCTGCGGAATCTCTAACGTTCTGCTCTCTCTGCTTTTTCTCATAGTAGCTTCATCTGGTCTGTTCCTGTTTGGCTGTGACTCTATCCTGGTGAGAAAAATCAGCTGTGCTGCTGCCATCAACACCTTTGTTTATAGATATTGGAGCTTGGCCTGTTTTTCAGTGCAGTCCTGTTTCTCTGACTGTGAGTGGCTGGACGTGCTCTCCTCATCCTCTGACTTGGAAGCTGGCTTGGAGCTCCTCTGCCTGGCTGTGTGTTTCCTGGACGGGGATTGTAGAGCTGGTTGACAAGTTGCTTTAGTATCTCTGCTTCTTTCTGTATCTCTGCTTCTGTCTCCTTGAACCCCGGTGGGCCTCAGCAGATGGCCGCTCACACTGAGCTTGGTTCTGCTGGAGGTTTCTTCCTGTTAAAAGGGATTTTTCCCTCTCCACTGTCGCTACAAGCATGCTTAGTGTGAGGGATTGTATTTGAGTCAATGAGTCGATGCAATCAACTGGTTTTCCTTAGATAGAAAACTTTGAATCAGTTTGAATGTATGATCTGGTGAACTGGAAAGTGCCTTGAGATGACGTATTGTTAACTGGCACTATATAAATAAACTGAATTGAATTGAATTGTAAAATTGCACAACACTGTTAAAATTATATTTTACTAAATGATTTGACCAAATTGGGGGTGCAAGAAGCAAAAAGGTTCTGTTTTGGATGCTGGCCGAGAGTCTTTCTGCATGGAGTTTGCATGTTCTCCCTGTGCATGCGTGGTTTCTCTCCGGTTACTCCAGCCTAAAACTTCAGTATATGGCAAAACTATCTGTGGAGTCTTCAAGATGCTTTGGATCCAAACTTCATCCCTGAAGTTCATCATAACTAACAAACCATTTTCTAAATTTTCAACCAGCTTCTTGAGTGGGAGTGATAAGCATGCTATGTTCTTATATTTATATACAATACATTTCAAACTACATGCAGTATTCATAGAAAGTTCTTGTTTAGGTTCATTTAGGGATTTTATTCAGGAGAAGTTAGTGTCTTAAAGTAAAGTCATTTATAAAAGACGACTGTCAGGTTGGGTGCAGGGTTGAAGATGACCCAAATGCAGAGACTCAAACTGAAGTGGTTTCATGCAAGTTTAATATTGAGACTGGGTGGCGTCTGGGGCAAAAATCCAAATATAACAAATTTAGAAAACTAAGAACTAGATGACAATAAATAAATGAATACACATGACAAGGACCCAGCAAAGAGTGAAGAACAGGTGTGGAGAAAAGCCTCTACAAGGAAGCAAGGAGAAAGAGGCTGACACAAGAGGGCAACAGAAGGTAAACAAGAAATACACAATACACATACAATAACACAAAATGCAAATCAAACCGATGAAAACTCAGTACAGCCCGGTTTTGTGCTAAAATAGTAAATGTTTCATACATTTCTGACAAATTTCACACATTCAGATTTTACATTATGATTCTTTGTATAAGCTAGACTATGGATGTTTCACTAAGGTTTGTAAAGTTACAGTCTGGGTTTAATGTTAAAACTATAATGATTAATATAATTGACTGTAGAGAAATATAGTTGTTTTGTGAAACACCACACATTCAGTGACATCTTTGACACTCAAAGAAACACTTGGACCCACTGTCCCTTGAAAAGAAAACTCAGTGAGCAGCAAATACTTTCTGACCCCTAAAATAAAGACAAAGGTATACTTGTATATTCTTTCTTTTTTCTCCACCTTTGTGATTTGTATAAATGAGTAAAACCTGATCAGAGTATCTTGAATTAAGGGATACCCCCCTGGATCCTGAATGGGAGGCAAAACATCTTCAAACTTGGAAACTAAGTCTAGTTGATTTTTTTTTTTTTTTACTATGACCTGGACGACTGAGAATCTTCACCAGCATAAACTCCTACTCTATATTCTTCCTGAATTTTTCTCTCAATAAAGATAGTTTTCCAGTTCTGTGCAGAAACAGCAGAGGTAAAACCAGATTGCTAGGCAGTGTCAACATAATGCTTGAGTTAATCAATGCACATAAATATTCTATATGAACTGAAATCAGATGATCAACACCGACACTTAACAGAATGCCAAATATCCTGAGGGCCAGCGTCACAGTTATGGCTAAAAGCATGTTGAAGGCTCTCCTCTTTGACTGGTCAGACCTCGGCTGCTTCCCCTTTGCATCCCCTGACCTTGGACATCTAAGAAAATAGAGAACAGACAGGCAGCAAAATGCAGAAACAATCAGACAAATGGCCAAGTAAGCAAGCAGGTGTTCTGTTGGGAAACGAGGCAGATACAGCTCCGCCAAGCCAAGCCACATAAAACAGAACAGCCAAACAGCTGCTGTGCTTATGTTTCTAACTCTTATTTTGACTGTTTCCCTCAACTGCATGTACTTAATAGCATGAACAACAGCCAGGTAGCGCTCTATAGAGGTCAGAACATGAAACAAGGTCTGGCCAGGAAAAACAAAGCATAAAAGAAATGTCCCCAGCATGATTAAGGAATCTGATTTTATGTTGGTTCCTAAACAATATAAAACAGTGCCAAGAACGCCAATGATATCCACCATCATCATTTGGTAAGTGAGGAAGTCAGAGTGGTTGTTTGATCTCCCTGGAGCAGCTGAGCGCTGACGCTTCCATTGCTGAAAACCCATGAGTAGGATGAAAATGTACAGTGGAAGGAGGAGGGTCTTGATAAAGGCATATATTGTGTAGATGATTTTGTTTCCAATAGAGTGATGACAGTCTGACAGGAAATACTTGATGGATGAGTTGGATGTAGTGAGAAGATGGGGAACAACTGAACGGATAGCTGTAGAGATGAGGGCCATGGCCTGCAGAAAAGGGAGAAAACACAATTACTGAAAAAAAAAAAAAAATGATGACCTCACAATTAACTAGATATAGTCTTTGTTTTTCCAGCACTTAAAACTTAAGAGATATCCTATTTGTCAGCGTAATGCATTAATTTAAAAAAAACAAATAGAAAAAAAATCGGAAAACCTGAACTAGTGTAGAATATAATAGAATAGAATAGAAAAGAATACAATAGAATACAAAACAATTATGCTTTATCATCCATGGGGAATCTCAGAGTCAGCAGTAAAGCAGAAAGAAAAACAGAAGTATCTAAGTACAAACATAAGGAGATCTTAATAACCTAAAAAACGTTCAGACTAAAATAGATTAAAACCATGATAAAAACTATAAGACAACTAAAATCTCTCTATCTATCTATCTATCTATCTATCTATCTATCTATCTATCTATCTATCTATCTATAGTGCTTAAAGCAACAATAAAAACATTGTCCAACATAAAGATAGTCAAAGTAAAAAAATCAGCTCATTTTTTTATCTATCTATCTATCTATCTATCTATCTATCTATCTATCTATCTATCTATCTATCTATCTATCTATCTATCTATCTATCTATCTATCTATCTATCTATCTATCTATCTATCTATCTATAGAATAAGAGCAAGAGGATAGGATAAAAGTCCTCAGCTTCTATTAGAAGTGTTTCATACGTGACTTAAAGGCACCACCTATTGATAAAGGAAGAAGGAACAAACTGCATGCCCTCTCCCAAAAAAAATCAAACTACCTGTCACTTTGCAGTAAACACCTGACACTAACAAATCAAGACCCAAAACCCAAAAAGCGATTGAGACATTAAGTACACATAGAGAGTGTAATAAAATTTCAGCTTATGTCCTGTAGCTGATTTAAAACACCTAAATCTTTTCAGACCGCAAATTAAAGTGTTAAAGTAATAGAAAGATTTGTATTTTTTTTTTGTTCTCTTTCTTGGCAGATATGTCGCCATGACAGAAATTGTTGTTTATATTCATAAATAAAAGTATACATTTGCACCAAACTTTGACTATAAAGAAAATTCACAGATTTTAGATGTTTGACAATATGAACCATCAACAATGTTTTCATCAATCAGTCCTGACCTCTACAAATAAAACTATAATATAACAAATAACATGTAGAAATTGTCCAAAGTTAACGACAAGTTGTCCAGCTGTGAATAGAACCACATGCATATATGGCAACATCAGCAGAGCCTTCTTTGAAATGCTAGTCCTTTACATCTGCAATGTCAGATTTAATGCTAAATAGTTTAAGCAAAAGCCTAAGCCCTTTTTTTTTGCATGACAATGCAAAAAAGATTTATCTCATGATCTACTCCGATCTACCTCAGACCATCCATAATAACAATTACTTCCCTGCCCGGAGTGCTTTTACACACAGCTTTATTAGTGTGCAGAGGAAGTGGGCTAATAAAGACACTGAATTAGCGCTTTAGCCTATATTATATCTATGGGTGGAAACCTGGACAGGACAGTGGGCTCCAACATTACCCTGATCCCCAAAACACATCATTACTGCTATCAGAAATGATAAAACATGCCTCTATTACTGAGTTAATAAGTAACTACCCATAGTCTGAATTACAGAAGAACTCTGAAATTTGCTTATTTTAGGCACCATGTTTTTGGGGAAATTAAAATGTTCAGCTACACATTAATCCCATACAATGAAAACTTTGCTCTCGAGAGATTTCTCTCTTTATTTGGCTTTAGTGGTCTTTAGTTGAATATTTGCTAGACAGAGAAATGGGAGAAAAAGGGAGACATATGCATTAAAAATTTCTATATCAGGATTTGAACTAAGGAGGTTTTGAGAACATGGCTCACATGTCTTTCTTCTGCAGCACCCTCCTGAGAGTTGCTGAAGGCCCTCATCATAAAACTAAAAGTATGATCTGCACCAAGTCGCAGACTTCCAAAGAGTCACCAGATATGTATCTTCTCCTTCCTATTTGTTATTCCTTCATCTTTATTTATAAAAAAATATCTTATTTCTGATGCGACTCCTGACCTTCAGAGTGTGGTGTGAGGGGGCCATGGAGAAACTCCAATATTGTTTTGTATGCCCTGACTGAAATATGTTCAAAGATGCAGCAACCTATGAAAACAAAATAAATATAGATGAGTATGCCATGACTCTGTCAGGATACATCAGCAAATGCATTGAAGACGTCAGCATCACAAAGAACATCACTACCCGAGCAAACCAATGACCCTGGATGAATGGAGAGGTTCGGAAATTGCTAAAAGCACCAAACTCAGCTTTCAAGTCTTGTGATGGTAAATGGCATGTACTTATATAGCACCTTTATTGAAGTCAGGAGACTTGACCAAAGCGCTTTACACTACATTCATTCACCCATTCACACACTCACACACTGATGGTGGCAAGCTACATTGTAGCCACAGCTGCCCTGGGGCTCACTGACAGAAGCGGGGCTGCCGTACACTGGCGCCACCAGGCCCTCTGACCACCATCAGTAGACAATGCAGGTATAGTGTCTTGTCCAAGGACACAACGACACTGAAAGTCTGAGTCGGGGCTTGAACCGTCAACCCTTCGATTTCAGGGCAAACTCCTACATCCAACGCAACTGTCACCCCAATAGATAGAGAGGCACTGAGAACAGCGTGTGATAACTTAAACCACGCCATCAGATCATCGAAGCTGAACCACAGTCAGAAGATCCAGGATCTTTTCCATGACGCCAGCAACACCAGGAGGATGTGGAAAGGCATTCGGATGATCACAGACTACAACCTGGTTAAAGGTTGTAGGCTGGTTAAAGAACACATCGTCTCCAGTCTGCTCCAGGTAGCTTAATGACGGAACCGCTCCACTGAGGACGCCATCTCTGCTGCTCTCCACCTGAGCCTGGCACACCTGGAGGTGAAGAACACCCACGTGCGGATGCTGTTCCTGGACTTCAGTTCAGCTTTCAACACCATCATCCCACAGCATCTGATGGGCAAACTGGAACAGCTGGGCTTCAATACATCCCTCTGCTATTGGCAACGTATCCCGAGTCCTTGTCATCATCAATGACCCCTCTCACCCCCACCATGGACTGTTCTTCCTGCTGCCCTCTGGGAAGAGACTTCACAGCATTCAATGCAGGTCCAGCAGATAAAAAAATATTTTCTTCCCCAACGCCATCAGACTGTTGAACTGTTAAAAAAACTCTAAATCATGCCACAGATTCTGCATCCAACCGATCATATCACTGCGTGTATTTTATTTTTTTTGCACCATGTTTTTTTCTCTTACAATATGCTGATGAAAGTTCCCAGTCATCCAGGTCATAGTCATTCCGTAAAAATTCAAAAAATATCCACTGGGCTTGGTTTTCTCTTACAATCTTTAGATTTGATCACTGATACTCTTTAAAAAATGTAAATGTCTTGAAAGCTGTACAAAATCACATTTTGTTTTGTATTCACTCTGTGTATACAAAATGACAATAAAAGTTGTAAAAGTCAAAGTCTGAATCTGTTTGCTGAACTGAGGGCTTTCCTAAAGGTCCTCTTATTACCTTCAGTCCTGTCCTCGAACCACAAAAACCTTATGTACAAAGCAACTATGAAGAAATAACCTGATTTTATTATGCAGTGTATAATTCACCATCTTTATTTAACCTGCCTTTTGAGTTGGTCATTTAGTTTAAATTAGTTTATCTACACTTTTGGAAGTAATATTTATAAAAAACAATTTCAATGTAAATCTCATAGTGCTTAAAGCAACAATAAAAACATTGTCCAACATAAAGATAGTCAAAGTCAAAAAATCAACTCATTTTACATTTTTGTTCAGTTCAAATAAAAGTAATTAATTCAAAAGGAATACATACAGCAGTAGTTGTCTCAGCCCACTACATATAATAATTACAACTGTTCAAGACATATATTATAAATATATATACTTAATTTTATACTTATTAACTTGATACTGAGGATAAAATTAAAATCTGTAACTGTCTGAAAATGCCTATTAAAGGAGTAAATGTTATGAATCAAACCTTGCCTGCAGTGTTTCTTCCAAACAAGCGAAGAGAGGCAATGGGAATTCCCCGCAGTCTGACATAGAGTGGTGTCCTTTCCCAGCTTACATTACTGGAACAGTTTAAGTGTT